GTCTTCTGAGAGACTTTAATGATTTGGCCTTTGTCTTACAGTTTCCACCCCCCCACACCCCAAGTTTCTTTAAGACATCATTTTGATGGGAAAGGATCTGGAGATCTGCAGGACGAGACTATGAACCCTAAAAAAGTGAGTGAAGAAAAGGTCCCAGGGGCTTCAGCTACCTTGGAGACACCTACAGTAAATGCAATCTGTAGTTATCATTAGGTTAAAGTTCACACAAGTGCTCTAGCTAAATAAAGTGGGGTTTGGCACTTACCCAGTACTGTTGAGATAACTCTGTCCAAGGCTACAGTCTTTTGACAAAGAAGATGGGTTATACCAAAATGCTGGTAAACACTGGCCATTGCTGTGACGTTCATATCCATAATCACTGTTTTAACAGTAAAGACAATCACATAAAAAAACCCAAAACAACAAAAAAACCCAATACAGGTATTAGCTCATGCTCTCCAATATTGATACGAGGTTTCCCCAATCTGCTAACTAGGATTTATGATTTTCATTGATACACTAAATGATTCTTCATCCTCTATCAGCTTTTTTTTTTTTTTTTTTTTTTTTTGAGGGCTAAGTTTCCTTACCTATGTCCTAGTATAAACAAGCAGAACCAGACCAGGTAGTTCATGAGCTATTGCATTATCTGTTTTCTCTCCACAGTCTAATAGTGTTTCTCAGGTTCAACCGTAGACTCAAATATAATAAAAGCCAGAGATCTAAGCTAAGTTCAATCACTGCTGTCTCACTCATATCTTAGAAAACTGAAGTGCTAAACAGTTAATTGTATTTGGAAACTATATCAAATGAGCTGTAGAAGAAAATGTACAGCCCTGAGAAAGCACTCAGCTGAAGGCATCAGCAGCCTATTTGGTAATGGAAAAGAAGACTATGATCTTCAATTCTATTTTTGTTTGGAAGAGAAAACACTACCAAAAATCATATGTTAGAAAAAAATGAGTCAAACTGTAACCTTTTGTCTCAATTTGGGTTTAGGTATGGCTAAATTTGCCTCTATTAAAAAAAAAACAACAGTTCAAATTGGTTTTGATTCCAGGTAAACACTTTATAAAAATTTTTATTGTGGAACAAATAAATGAACAAAAAAAATCTTTTAAATCAGTACTCAGTTCACATATGTTTTTCCTCTCCAGATTCTCAGTAAAGAGAACTGTTTGTTTGGAAAATCATTCTTATTCCTTTTACTAAGCTTTCTCCATAGCCCGTAACAGGAAAGTTAATGGGTTGCCTTTTCTGAGAACTGCTACACCAAGTCCAGCAACTCAATTCCAGTGCCTCAGCTGCAACATGATCCTTTATCTTAAAATGACATTTCTTTAATGTTTTTGTATCAAGTAGCCTCATATTCTAAGAAAAGATGATTAGGATTTATTCGAATTAGATTACGTGATTAAAGGCTCGTCTACATATATGTTAAGAATCAGAGAGGAAAAACAGGAGGCAGAGGAATGACTTGGTCAGAGCCAGTGGGACCCCTGCTCTAGCTCCCCCCAGGGCTGTCACATCAGAATCATCAGCTCATGGCTGGGTGAGACATACCAGATCATCGAGAAAAGATCTCCTTACATCACTTTGCACATCACTTAGTAGGCTTACTGGACACAGGGGCACTGGGCTCAATATGTCATGTCAGGGAAAAGCATCTGGCATCTCCATCTCTATTTTCCTGGGTGAGGAGTTACCTGTTCTGTGTGTGTGTGGTGGTCTAAGTCTCAGCAACTGGACTTCGACCATAGATCTCAGAAGTCCATGTGTCTGCACTTCCAGCAACTGGAGTGAATGGAGTGTGTGCATACAGAGCAGATAATCACCAAGCCAAACAAGCCAGCGAGCAGGAAAAGAGACTTGGGTGCCAGATGAGATGTAGTCATGAGTTCAGGTCTGTGAATTAGTTGTTGGAGAGCTCAAAAGGCCTGGGGAAATGGCTACTGGAGAAAAGCCGTGTAGGTCTGGATCTGCTCATGAGGAGACCTGTTATGGGTTTATACATCTATGCATAAGGCAACTGGGGATGCGCAGTTGTCAGCAGCTGACATGGCATTGAGGGGCCAGACACCAGACAGACTTGGGTGTAAAATACAAGGTACTGGTGGGTTCAGTATTGTATGTATGTTTATAGTGCACATATTTTTTCATAAATGTGATATCATCTTGATCAGAGAGTGCAGCAGGATGAGGCAACTCTTGTTTGTGTGTGTGCTGTGTTTTCTGTTCCTGCTAATCTTATGTCACCATCTATGTACATCTGCATGTATGTACTGTGCATACATGTACAGGTGTGTCTACCAGGAACAAACACTCAACTTTGCTACTGCTTAAGTCAGGGGACAGGGAACTGCAGCAGCCTCACCTCTGTCAGGCTACTTAAGTCAGCATCTCCTACTAGGCAGAAGTGCAAGAATTATATTTATTATATATATATAATATATAAAATAATATTAACAAGAAGAAGAAGATTTAACACTATGAAGACTTTTTTCAACTCTCTTTTTCTTTCTCAACCACAGCATGATGCTTTAAAACAAAAATTTAATGTATCACTATTAAACAATTTTAAGAACTGGTGATAATCTAAGATATGCAAAAAATTAAAAAAAAAAAAAGAGATAAAATGGTACCATTTACTTTTGTTATTTTTTTATACTTGCTATCAAAATCAGGACATCAAGAAGAATTTTGTCACAGCTTTTTACTTCTGTCTGTGACTTTTTCTTCTGGATCAAGAAAAAAACCTGTTTTGATGTAACCTTAAAAGCAGAAATAAAGAAGATTACATTAATCAAAAGAAAAATTAAGCTGCATATCACTTGGGAAAACTCCTAAACATCCATTAGATTGCATGAATGTTCCAAAGGAACATTTTGGCAGCTGTGGTGCTTGGGATATCTACAACAAGTAATTGAGAACATACTCCAGGAAACAGCAATGAAGTAGATGACCTAGATGGGTTTTCCTTAGTTTTTTGATTGAATTTTCATAAATCTATTTACTCAAATGCTAGTGACTGAATGTTGCTTAATTGCTTTGGAAGCATCAGCCAGACTATTCTCCCACTGCCATGTGCTTCTTTAATCATCCTTGTTGGAATAAGAACACTATAGCTGCAGAGTACACTTTATAATGAAGAATAACACCATTCTGATTTGCTTAGAGAAAACAAATATTTACATACAAGTGGGACTCCTGTATTTTTGTAATTCATTTGTCAATACTCTGATGCACTGTATTCCTTAGTTATCATGTGCCTCTCTAATTAAAAAGCTATAATACTACACACACACACTGTTCTGTAATCGGTTAGGTAAAAACAAAACCAAACAATGCAGTGAAATCTGCCTCAGAGGAGATCAGTACCCACAGTCCAATTTGGTGCATTAGTATCAGTCTGGGATTTCTTGCTATACATGTGTCTAGACTCATGCCATAGTTTTGGTTCCTATTAGTACCTGCACACTTGGCCAAGCCAAGCTTGACTTAACTATGTTTGACTATACTCAGACCATATTTCTCAAAGTCAAGAGAATGAAATTGTAT